AGTGTCAGGGCCTTGGGCCTCTCAGTGGAGAGCTGCCATGGACGCAGAGATGGCCTCCTACAGGTCCACAGGCACTTACGTTGACGAGGTTCCCCCCCCAGGGGCGAACATTGTTGACGGCATGTGGATCTTCAAGGTGAAGCGGCCGCCGGGATCTCCCCCAGTCTTCAAGGCACGCTACGTGGCTAGAGGTTTTAGTCAGCGTGAGGGAGTTGACTTCTTTCAGACCTTTGCGCCCACCCCGAAGATGACCACTCTTCGGGTGTTACTGCACGTAGCAGCGCAGAGAGACTACGAGCTACACTCTCTCGACTTCTCCACTGCCTTCTTGCAGGGCAGCCTACACGAGGAGATCTGGCTGCGTCGTCCTCCGGGCTTCACTGGCACTTTCCCGCCTGGGACCCAGTGGAGCCTCAGACGACCGGTCTACGGTCTCCGCCAGGCACCCCGTGAGTGGCACGACACTCTCCGCTCTACTCTGTCCGACCTTGGGTTTGAGCCGTCTTCCGCCGACCCGTCGCTGTTTGTTCGTCGTGGGCGCACACCTTTCTTTGTTCTTGTCTACGTTGACGACTTGGTTTTTGCCACAGCCGACACAGTTGCACTGGCGGAGGTGAAGTCCGAACTGCAGAAGAGACACACCTGCACTGACCTTGGGGAACTGCGCCGCTACCTTGGCCTGCAGATCTCCAGGGACAGAGCCGCTCGCACCATCACTCTGACTCAGTCACACATGGTGCAGCAGGTTCTTCAGCGGTTCGGGCTTCAGCACTCCTCTCCTCCTCCCACCCCTCTTGCTGTAGACCACAGACTCACTGGGCCTTTTCCTGACGAGCCGTTCGAGCCCAGTGGTCCCTACGCAGAGTTGGTGGGCTGCCTCATGTACCTGATGACGTGCACTCGCCCGGACCTCGCCTTCCCTCTTAGCATCCTTTCTCGCTTTGTTGCGACAGGGAGACACCGTCCTGTTCACTGGGCGGCGGCTAAGAGGGTGGCGAAGTACCTCGGCGCGACATCAGACATGGGGCTTGTACTTGGAGGGACACAGCCAGTTGTACTCACCGGTCACTGCGACTCCTCCTACGCCGACGACGTTGAGTCACAGAGGTCTACACAGGGTTACTGTTTCAGCCTGGGCTCTGGAGCTGTTTCGTGGAGGTCTACTCGGTCCTCCTCTGTTGCGACTTCTACCGCAGAGGCCGAGATCTACGCTGGAGCCCTTGCTGCACAGGAGCTACGCTGGTTGACCTTCTTGCTCACTGACCTTGGTGAGCGGCCGAGCTCTGCACCGACCTTGTTTGCTGACAACAAGGCGATGATTCTCCTGTGTCGTGAGCCTCGACTAGAGAGCAGAGTGAAGCACATCGACGTCAGGTACTTCCTCCTTCGAGAGTTGCAGAGACGCGGGCAGGCTCGTCTGGAGTTTGTGGCCTCCGAGGCCAACACTGCAGACATCTTCACCAAGGCCCTCCAGCCTTGTGACCACCGCCGGTTTTGTCTGCAGTTAGGCCTCGTTGAGACTGGGTCTAGTTGACTGCTGTAGGGTGCTCTTTGTCTGTTGCTTGCTTGTACCTTATATATATTTGTTTGCACACTTTTGGACTGGCCTTGTGGCCCTTTGCTTGTGCTCAGATTAGGTGGTGACGTTGTGATCCACCCTGAGCTTTGTTTTCTTTCTCTTGCTTTTGACTGGTCTTGTGACCGTAGGTTGCTTGTTGTTGATTGGCCTTCCCCACTTAGGCTATGGGGGTGTGTCAAATATTATAGCCTGTAGTGGGTTGGGCTATATGGGGTACAACTAGTTAGGGTTAGGTTATGTACCCCAATTTTGTCAGTGCAACACATTCCGCTGTAGTTCTCATTCTGACAGTACCCAACTTAGACACCATGCTACATTGACGCAAAATTTATCCTAGTCTGATTCATTTTCCCCAGAACCAAGATAGCAGGTTCTAGTCAACGCATAAGTCACATGGGATGTGGCTGCATTTCCCCCCCACCCCACACACTCACACTTTCTTTGCCTTGCCACCCTCCCGTCCTCGGGTTTGCAGTCGGTGATTAATGCCACGTCTCTCTACCCCGATTGGACCTTTTTCCACTCCACCAACACCCGTCAAAGGGACAGCGCAGCTTCACAAAAGCAGCAGTGGCAAGAAGTGGAGGGAGACATGCGAGCATATGATAGTGAGCAATCAGTGGCCATCAGCTTTGCTAGCCTGCTGATTGCTGCTCAGTGCGATCTTTCTGTTGGGTCGTTAGGGTCGAATTGGGGCCGCCTGATCAACGAGCTCAGGTCCACCAGTGGCAGACTGCTGACTGGGTTCCTGGCCCTCAATTTGGGCGAGTTTTGAGTATTGTAATGTAAGACATTCATTATTATCTATTATGTGTTGTAGAGCTCTAGCAATCCCCGAATGTAAGTTTCCGCCTTGGAAGAGTCCTGCTGCGATATAGCGGTGTAGGGTGGTGAGGAGAAACTCCAACAAACATTTCGCAGCCCCAGGAGTTCACTCATGCTGAACAAGACATGATGCTGCTCCCTGCGCTTCGAATTCCCGTAACCTGAGTTGAGACCTGACCAGACATGTTTCAGTACAGTACGGGTAACAACTAGTTGCAAGGAGCCAACCTGCGCCAGGAAAGTGCATGTTCGCATCCACCCGCCAACATCTACAGTCGCATGATTCAGCGCGGTTCGGTTCCTTCGCTTGCTCCAATTACGCGATTCGCGAACTTCCCCTGCAGAACCCGGAGGCACTTCAAGCCAACCAGACACACACCACCGAATATAAGAAACTAGTCTCTTTGACAGCCCAGACAGAAAACCGTCTCTCGTGTGATACATCTTAGGTGAGGTATCGCTCTTACGAAATTTCCTCCTATCATTTTTCTCTCCAAGCGATTTTGACATTTCTCGAAAACAAGCCAGCTCCTCAGCGCCTTGACCTCGATTTCAGAACCATGGCGCGGTTGTTACTAGTAGCGTCGCTCGCGGTCCTACTAACAGTGGCCTCCGCGGCGCCAAGCGTCGTGACTGGACCCAACAACCCCGCAGTGTCCCTGGAGCAAGCTAAGGGCGAGAACGGCGTGGCGGCGGAGGTGCCCAAGGGCATCGAGCAGGCGGCGGCGGTGGGCAATCTGGACAAGTTCGAGGGGACGACGGTCGTGAGCCCGAGCACGGACAGCATGCTGATGGTGGACGTGAAAGCGGCCGGATGGAACAAAATGAAGTGCCACAAGGACCTGGGCAAACCCGGGGACGGCGCGTGCACGCCCGCCAACTGCAGCAAGGGCGGCATCGCCGCCAAGTGGAAGACGTCGAACCTGCTCAAGAACAAGCTGGGCGTGGAGGTGTACGTGAAGGGCAACCCGCTGACGCTCAAGAAGGCGTCCCCGCAGACGTGCTGCAACACGTGCGCGTCGTTCAAGAGCTGCACGTACTGGCAGTACATCCCCGATATAACCATCGACGGCAAGAAGACGGACGGCGCGTGCTACCTGGTGCACGACGATATCGACTACACCTGCGGCGAGCTGACCGCGCAGTACGCGACGGACTCGAAGCCCGTTCACCTGCAGGTGCGCACGGGCGGCGAGTGCAACCCCGCGGCGAACGTCGTCAACGACCCGCATCTGGTGGGCGCGTTCGGGACGCACTTCGACTTCAACGGGCGGCCCGACAAGGCGTTCTGCCTGCTGACGGACCGCGACCTGCACGTGAACATGCTGCTGCGCGGGTACTACTCGGACGACACGGACAACGCGGCGCTCGTGGTGGACGGCAAAGCCGTACACACGTGGATCAAGGAGCTCGGGCTCGTGTGGTTCGCGGCCGGCGCGGACCACAAGCTGCGCCTCGCGGCACGTGGCGGCAAGCAGCAGGAGCGCGGCGAGGGGTTCATGAAGACGATCGAGATCGACGGCGAGGAGATCCCGAGGATGGCCGTCGGCGACGAGGTGAAGACGGAGGGCGGGTTGACGCTGCGATTCGCGGCGCTGGAGAAGGAGGGGCCGTATGACGTAGACTACTACACGCTCGCGATCGACGGGCTCGTGTCGCTCGACCTGCGCCTGCGCGTTGCCAACCCGAAGCTGCAGACCCCCAACGACGCCGAGGCGCACATCAACGTGGGGATTGTCGAGCTGGAGCACACCGACGACGTGCACGGCGTGCTCGGCCAGACGTACCGCCCCGACCACGCCGCGCGCGCCGCGGATTTCCAGCGCCTGATCGCGAATTTGCACCGTCCGATCTCGTCGGATAGTGAGGAGGGCGTGGGGTTCCTGGACGGCACGCCGCGGTCGTACGAGTCGAGCTCGGTGCTCTCCGTGGACTGCGCGCACACCGAGTACCACCGCGCCAAGCAGCTCAGCCCCGTCGAGGAGTTCCCCCGCGAGCCGCTGCACTGAACCTAGTCGCGCGCGTTCTCGGCTCGCGGGATGCAAGCATGTGTTGGTACATCGGTGGGAGTAATTTGTTGGTGGGCTGATTTGCGTACGCGATGAGCGTGCCTCTGTATTGTATACTGGCCTGAACATGGGCCTATTCTTTTGTTGTGAATGATCTATAGCGATTCCTGTTTTATAAGCAAACTTTTACTAAGCTTGTTGTCAATCAATTGTAGGGTTCAACTGGCAAGGTTGAGTTTTGGTAGCAACCATAACCAATTGTTCTGCCAACCTTGATGGGGGAGGGGAAAGATCAACGAGTCCTAGAGGTTGGCTTGGTCTAGAATCTGTGCTCTGTACGAACTCCTACCCAATTTTTCTAATGTATCTGACTAGGGTGGTGGTGATTATTTAGAAAACAAAATGTGTGCGTGGTCATTACGGTAGGTGTGGAAGAAGATTAATCTGAATGGTCATAAGGGCAAGGCGACATTCATGAACTTGCGTTTTCTGAAGGAGAGCCACCACTTGTTGGGTGAAACGTGCATGGTGAGAGTAGCATGGTGACATGGATGAGTTGAGGGCATTTTTAAGCGTGCATGGTACGGTCAGAGCGGCATGGCGACATTCATGAACTTGCGCTTGCTGAAGGAAAGCCACCACTTGTTGGGCGAGCCGTCAGGCAGATACACCACCTGCAGCAGCCGGTTGCTCGTCTCCTCCCTCACACTCTGCAGGTACGTCCGTAGCGTCTCTGTTGGGGATGGAGGAGAGGAGAGGACGGGAAGGGGTTGGGGGAGAGGGGAAATGCAGATGCACCACCTGCAGCAGCCGGTTGCTCGTCTCCTCCCTCACACTCTGCAGCGTCTCTGCTAAAAAGACAGGGGGAGGGGAAGGGATTGGGGGGAGGGGAAAGGTGAAGGGGGAGGGGTGGTGGGGGCGAGGTGACTTTTGAGTCGGCTCAAAGAGCAGCCGGTTGCTCATGTGCTTCTGCACACTCTGCAAATACGTCTGCAGCACGCAGGGCAGCAGGCGCGAAGCAACGGGTTCCAACCCCAGGTTGGTGAGCTTTGAGTCGACTCAAACCAAAAGTCACACGCTCAAAGCCTGTGACTTAAACGACCTGCTTCGAGGTTGTTGGTCGGTGTGGTGAACAGGCCAGCGAGCGGAAAACCAGGGTCCGGTCCCCCGGAATAGGGAAGGGTTCCAGCTGCAGGTTGATGAGCAATCGGATGCCCTCGGCCTCAGAGGGGCAGGAGTCAATGCGCTTGAGCGCCATGTTGATGTAGAGCGTCAGGTACACCAGTAGCTTGTCCGCCCGCCCAGGTTGACGGCTCATAGGGTTTTAAAGCCCCAGGTTCATTCATGGGTTTTGAATGGACTCGGAATGCACGCACCTGCTTCAAGACGGCTGGCGGGCGTGGCAAATAATCCGGCAAGCGGGAATCCCAGGTCGCCCGGAATGGGGAAAGGTCCCAGCCCCAGATTGATGAGCAATCGAATGCCTTGGGCCTCGGAGGGGCAGGAGTCGATGCGCTTGAGCGCCATGTTGATGTAGAGCGTGAGGTAGACGAGTAGCTTGTCCGCCCGCCCAGGTTGCATTGATGAGTTATGAGTTGACTCCCACTAAAGGCCACGCACCTGCTTCAAGGCGGCTGGTTGGCGTGGCGAACAAGCCCGCGAGCGGGAATCCAGGGTCCCCCGGGATGGGGAATGGCTCCAGTCCGAGGTTGATGAGCAGCCTGATGCCCTCGGCCTCGGAGGGGCAGGAGTCGATGCGCTTTAAAGCCATGTTGATGTAGAGGGTCAGGTACACTAGCAGCTTGTCCGCTGGGCCGCGGATGTCGAATCGGCGGAACAGCACGTTGGCTCGGAAGAGCGTGATTGCCTCGTCCACTATGTCCGTCTCCTCTGGTTGGTGGGGTGTGGGGGTGGGTATGGGTGGGTGAGTTGAAGGAATTATGAAACGTTGGCTCGGAAGAGCGTGATTGCCTCGTCCACTGTGCCCGACCCCTCTGGTTGGATGGAGGAAAGAGGTGGACAGGTGGTGGGGTGGATGGGGGGGGGAAGGTGGTTGGTGGGTGAATCACAAGGGCCAAAGGGAGAGGCACCAAAGCGGCGGAACAGCACAATGGCTCGGAACAGACTGATTGCCTCGTCCACTTGTCCGTCTCCCCTGGAAGGTGGGTAGGGTGGGGAGGGTTGAGGAGGGGTGGGAAGGGTTTGGGTGGGGTAGTTGAATTAACGAACGGGATGGTTGCACTATGTCTGTTCTGTTCCCTCGGAACAGCATGTTGGCTCGGAAGAGGGTTATTGCCACGTCTACTAGGTATGTCTGTCTCCTCTGGATGGTGGGGTCGGGTTGGGTAGGGTAGGGTAGGGTGGGGTGGGGTGGGGTGGGGTGGGGTGGGGTGAGTCAGAAATGTGAGAGATGGCTTTGACCTCGGAGGGACAGGCAATCGAGTGAGAGATGAATGGATGGCTCTTCCGAGAAAACGGAGCGATGTTTTGAATAGCAATACCTGCGCCTAGTGTTTTGAGTCGACTCAAAACACACTTGAATGGCAATACCTGCGCCTAGTGTTTTGAGTCGACTCAAAACACACTTGAATGGCAATACCTGCGCCTAGTGTTTTGAGTCGACTCAAAACACACTTGAATGGCAATACCTGCGCCTAGTGTTTTGAGTCGACTCAAAACACACTTGAATGGCAATACCTGCGCTGTTTTGAGTCGAGTTTTTTTTTTTTTTTAGGCCTGTACGACTCTTTGAGTCGACTCAAAACACACTTGAATGGCAATACCTGCGCCTAGTGTTTTGAGTCGACTCAAAACACACTTGAATGGCAATACCTGCGCTGTTTTGAGTCGACTCAAAACGCACTTGAATGGCAATACCTGCGCCTAGTGTTTTGAGTCGACTCAAAACACACTTGAATGGCAATACCTGCGCTGTTTTGAGTCGACTCAAAACGCACTTGAATGGCAATACCTGCGCCTAGTGTTTTGAGTCGACTCAAAACACACTTGAATGGCAATACCTGCGCCTAGTGTTTTGAGTCGACTCAAAACACACTTGAATGGCAATACCTGCGCCTAGTGTTTTGAGTCGACTCAAAACACACTTGAATGGCAATACCTGCGCCTAGTGTTTTGAGTCGACTCAAAACACACTTGAATGGCAATACCTGCGCCTAGTGTTTTGAGTCGACTCAAAACACACTTGAATGGCAATACCTGTGCTGTTTCCTCTCCTTCTGATCTTCCTTTGTTTTAACTCCCAAAAGCCCCGTGTTTTGAGCAAGTGGAGGCGTTGTGCGAAAGGTGGTTACCAGTTGAGGTGTTGTGCGAAAGGAAAGGTGGTTACCAGTGGAGGTGTTGTGAGTGGGTCCCCTGGCAGTGGCTTTGAGCGGCAGCAGAGGACAGCCACATGCGAATTCCACTCCCTCCAAATGCGTGTACGACGAGTGGTACACCTGCCGTTCCCAGGGGTGCGGAGCGGTATGGGTTGAGTGCAGTGCGAGGAACGGGCGGAAACAAGAGGGGTGCGCTTGCTGGCAGGCATAGGTCAACACGCGTATCATGGAGCATAGCTCCGAGAACTATGCGGGGGATTCTGCTACTCGCACTCTGCGGGTACACTCTACGGATAGCGGCGGGGAGCGAGGAAACCGCACTCCGCATTCTACGGCTACGCTCACCATTTCGACGCGTGATCGGTTGTGACTATCCGCGTTATAACGATTCTGCTCCTTGGACTGTCGACGCGCGTTGAGTTCCTTCACATCGGTCAATGCGCTTACGGCGGAACTGTTACGTAAGTACTACTTTTAGGTCCACTTACGATCGAAGGCGGAAGAATGAAAAGCGAGAAACGGCTATTAACAGAGGGGAGAGGAAGAATAAGAAAATGTTGCGGCTGTCACACTTCTTCCCTCCAGCGTCTGCTCGTGGTCGCCAACTCGGAAGAGGAAATGAGGAAGGAAGGAAGAAAATAGCTGATGATAGGGAAGCAGAGCGTGAAAAGGAGTAACTCGACGACTAGACAACAAATTTGAGAATGGCTCTGCAGCGAACAAGATATGTGACACTGATGCGTGAATTGCGGTGGACTTGCGGCTCGGCAGTCAGCCCTGAAACCTATGATGGAAATGTGAGTAAAAAGGAGGCTCAAAATTGAAATGTGCCAGCCGGGAATCGAACCCGGGTCTGCACCGTGCTGAATGGCAGGGTGCTATTCTACCACTAGACCACTGGCACACTGGATGAAAAAGCCCTTATCCCTTCATGACACATGTAATTTGAAACCAGAACATAGGCAAAGGACAAGCTTACTTGTTTCCAGTCTTGCCCATCATGCATCATCTCAACAGTTCCTTTCAACACATGCGGTTTCACAACAGTATCAATCATCGCATCCCTGGTATCTACTTAGCACTTGCCTTCCCCGTGAGCCCCATCTCAACGCGTTTGATTTCAAAGATGAGCATGCGCCACATCTTGAGCACAAACATCTCCGCCTCCTCGTCCAGTATCGGCTCCAGCAGCCCCAGCAGCGCTGCCCCGCCCACGTGCTGCTGCGTCTTGGAGAGGATGAAGTCCACCAGGGTGGGCTCCTCCTCCCCCAGGAACTCCTGAATCTTCTTTGCCACCCATGGGCGCATGCGCTGGTGCAGGGCACTCTGAGGGAAATTGTGTGAGGGAGGGAAGACATGGGAAGGAGCGGGGAATGGGGAGTGTGTTGAGATAAAGTCAAGTAGTGTGGGCTCCTCCTCCCCCAGAAACTCCTGGATCTTCCGCGCCACCCACGGCCGCATGCGCTGGTGCAGGGCACTCTGGGAAAGGAGTTTTGGGTTAATAGGGGGGGGGGGGGGGGGGGGGGGGAGCGTTGAGCCAAAAGAGGATGGTTGTTGAGGGTGCAGGTGCTTTTGCTGTGCAGGCTGACCAATGATGCTCTTGGGGAGCAAAAGGAAGAAAAAACATGGTGAGCAAGACGAAGGGAGGAGGAAGGGGAATTCAACCTCAGCACAGCCTCATCTCAACACGGCTCACCCTGTCACACTCACCAAAGCGGCCAAGTCCTAAACTCGCTCACCTCATCATAGACAGTCCAGTTAATGGGCACAGCAAAGAGGTCGTCCTTGCTCTTGGGGATGGAGTCAATCAACGACTTCACATCCACCACCGCCTTGGGTTTCGCCTTCTCCTTCTCCCCCCCACCTGCACCCGCATCTCCCCCTCCGCTCCTCCTCTCGTCCTCCTTGCCCGCCCCGCCTCCCTGCGAGAGCCGCTTGGCAAACTCAGCCGCCGCAGCAATACTGGCCGCCAGCCCTCCCGCAGCACCACCGCTTGCCGCAGCTGGGCCCCTCGGGGAGGAACCCCCATGCCCACGTGCCGTACCACCACCACCGGCAGCAGCATCGGCGCCAGCAGCAGCATCGCTACCACCGTCATCATAGTCGATGGGGACAAGAGGGCGCAGCTTCTTGCGCCCCAGCTCCTCCTCGTCCTCCTCTGCGCCGAACACGGATGCCAGCGTGCGCGTCTTCTTGGAAGGTGCGGGAACTGGGGCGCGGGAGGGTGCAGCAGAGGGGCGGGCTGCAGTGGTGGCGGGTGGTTGAGATGGCGGCGCTGGGGATGCTGCTAATGGTTCCGCTGGTGACGCTGCTTCGGGTGCTGGTGCTGCTGGCACTAGCGGTGTTGCTGCAGCTGCCTCGACTGGTGCTGCTGCTGCAGGTGTTACGTGAGGTTGAGCGTGGCTTGCTGGTTTCCCGGGGAGAGGGGGGAGGTTCGTAAGAGGGGTTCGGGAGGAGTGGAGGAAAAAGGTGGTCGGGAGAAGATGGATGGGGTGAAAGAGAGTGAACGTTGACGAACAACGTGAAGATGGATGGGGTGAAAGAGAGTGGACGTTGACGAACAACGTGAAGATGGATGGGGTGAAAGAGAGTGGACGTTGACGAACAACAAGGTAAAGATGGATGGATAAGGAGAAAAACAGAAGCACACAGATGGTGGAAGATTGTGAGAGAGTGGGAGCCCAGACAGGAAAACCCAAAAAACTTCCCACACTGACCTGCCCACAGTGTTACACGTTGCTACACCTTAGCCCCCCACTGCCAACCGTAACATGTTCCAACCTAAATCAAATCCATTCCACACCCAAATCATAACGCCCTACCTGCGCGGCCCTCCCTGTCCTTGGCATGAGCTGCCACAGCTCGCACCAGCACATCCACCTCCGACTCCCTACCTCTCCCTCCCTGCCCCGGCCCCCCTGCTCCTTCGCTTCCTCCCGCCTGTCCTGCCTGGCCCGGGGGCCTAGCAGCTGCAACATGGGCAGCAGAAGGCGGATGGAGGGACGGCAGCAGATCCGCTAGACTGGGCAGCGAGATTTTCACTTCAGGAAGGGGCGGGGGGACGGGTGCTGGTGGTGATGCCGGTGCAGCAGCAGGTGCCGCTGCTGCTTCTGTATCCATTGCTTCTGCCGACGCAAACCCGTTGGTCTCTTCACTCTTGATCAACCCGCCTGCTCCAATTCCGTCTGCACCTCCCACCCCACCTTCATCATCCGCCATACCGCTCGGTGCTGCTGCCTCCACACCTGCTGCAGTAGCAGCTTGCCCTCCCAGCAGCACACTCGCCTCCCCCACCACCTCACTCACAAACGCCATTGCTTCCTTCCTCTGCTGCTCCTCTCTCTCCTTCGCCTCCTGCATCTCCCTCTCCTCCTTCTCCCTGTCCCTAGCATCCTCCTCCTCCTCCCTCACCCGCACCCTCCTCCTCTCCTCCCAATACCCATCTCTCACCCTCCTCCTATAAATCCTCTCCTCCTCCTCGCTATCCTCCTCCTCCTGCTGCCGAATCAGCGCCCGCCGTTCCCTCTCCGCCTCCCGCTCTCGCTCTCTCTCATACGCCTTGGCTCGGTCCCTCTCCTTCTCCTTGTTCTCCATCTCCCTCTCCCTCTGATCACACAACCTATCAAGCTCTCTAAGGTTCATCTCCCTGTCTCTTTCCCTGCGTCCTCTCTCCCTCTCCCTCCTCTGCTCCAGCCGCTCATACTCCCTCTCCTTGCTCCTCTCCTCCCGCTCCTTCTCCCGCTGCTCCCTCTCCTTCTCCCACTCCTTGGCACTCTTATGCTCCCTCGGTTTCTCCCTCTCCCTCTCCCCGTCTCTCTCCTTCTCCCTATCATTTTCATCACCCCTCTCCCGCTCCCTCTCCCGCTCCCTGTCTCGCTCCCTGTCCCTGTCCCTATGCCTGGACCGCTCGTGACCAGCATCATCGTCGTCATCATCAGCATCTTCCCTCTCTCGCTTCCTGCCCTCCCGCCTGTGCCCATCAGCACCTGATTCTGTTTAGGGTAAGGGCCAAGCATAGCATGGGAATAAGAGCCAAGCAGCCATGTAAGCATGTTGATGCCATCATGTGTTTATGTGATCGTGCAACAGGAAGAACAGAAGCAGAGTGAAAAAAAAAAGTATTGGCCGCTTCGCGACAAAAAAGAGCCAGGGAAAATATATATATTTATACTGAATTAGAAGCAAGTGTGAAAACACATGCACACACAAAACAAGTGCATGACACCACCACACGTTTCAACAAGCATCCCAATCTTGATAAAAACACGCGAAAGCATGCACCCACCAGCGACAGACGTGTCAGCCTCCTTGCTGCTGTCCTTGAGCGGCGGTGGCGGCGGTGGTGGCAGCAGCTTCGCCCTGCATGTGTGCAGACGATTGTGCAGTGCAGCACGATCACAAGGTCAGAGGACAGAAAAAGCACACAGAGGCACAAATGAGAAAGAGAGGGTGCAGAAGAACAAGAGGGAGGGAGACGTCAGCAAACACATCACGGAGCTGTTATGCCCTCGCATCTACACACACATTCCGCCTCTCCATCCCCACGCCCACGCCCACGCCCACGCCCACGCCCTCTCCCTCTATTGGAATCCACCCCTCACCTCTCTGAACCACGCCCTCACCTCTCTGAATCACGCCCTCACCTCTCCTGCAGCATGCTATTGAGCTTCGCCAGAGCAGCTTCGTCCTTGTCCT